ATCTGAGTTCCTTTATAGCTTCATGGAGTCATTTCTTTACTTCAGTTGCTATCATTTCAGAAGTTTTGGGTATATGGTTTACATTTTGTTCTATGTCCATGTCTCTTCGGCTTTTTTGGGGCGGGCTGAAAGTTTGAGGTTGCATTTTGCTCTTTTGTTTTGTCATTTTCCTGTATTCCCCAGTTCCCTAGTGGCACTCAGAGACTCCCCAGATAGGGGGCGTGCTCTGGATGGACCTTTAGCACTCTCCAGATGGCTCACCGAAGCACCCCAGCTGCTTGAGGTCACTGCACAGGGCCCTACCAGGTTCTGAGTAGTGTAGTAAGGCTGAACAGTATGTGGAATACACTGGGAAGGCTTTCAGCTCATGCCACGCTTCTTGGGGTCTTTGGGTGGTTCCAAGCAGAGACCCACTGCTGCACAGCTAGGTAAGGACTGCTGTGGTAGGTTTCAGCTTATAGGCGGTAGCATCCTGGCTACCTGGAGGACACTTGGCAGGGCCCAATCAGGACTCAAGTGATGACCTAACAGTCCTGCAGTGTTCAGGGATGCTGGATGGTGGCCTACCAGGTTCCAAGTAAAGATCTGTGGCTGCTAGGTAGGTAGGAAGCTCTGCGGCAGGCTTCAGCTCACATGTGGCGGCTCTCTACCACCTGGAAGTCACTAGGTGGGACACAGCCAGGACTGGAGTGATGACCCAAAGATCCCACAGTGTTTGGGGATGCTGGGTGGAACCTACTAGGTTCGAGGCAGAGTCCCATGGCTGCACAGCTAGGTAGGGATCTGTGTGTGAGGCTCCAGCTCACACATGGTGGTTCCCTCTGTTCTGGGCTGACCAGTCCTGCGGGGCTGAAGAATTGACTTCAGAGCTAACTGAGCTCTGTGACAGCTGTTCCTTAAGCTGAGGAATCCTTAACAAAACCATTATGACTGCAAACAAAGCTTTTAGCCAAAGCTGAATCCTTTGAATATCATTCTTGGCCTTCTTTCCAACTCATTCTATTGTTATCCATTTAATATGAGGACTTTGTATACTTTTTAATTCATTTATATGGAAATATACGAACATAAGGAGAATTTACAATATTTAAAAATATGCAATATCATGTTGTATAAATTTTTTTGAGACAAAATCTTGCTATGTAGTTCAGGCTAGACTTAAACTCATTGTGTAGCCCAGGCTGGCCTTGAACTTGTAGTGAACATCCTGCCTCAGCTTCCCAAATGCTGGTTGCTATCATACTCAGCTTGGATCATGCTATAATACTCCAAAGTATTTTTTTAATATACAAGTGGTTCCCAATTTATGATAGGTTGACTTGTAATTTTTGGTTTTAGAGTGGTGCAAAGCAATTCAATTTAGTAGAAACCACACTTTAAATTTTGATCTTCCCCTGGGCTAGCAAATATATTACAAGAAAACTTGTTAATCATGTACATGTTAAGGAGTGGCAGCTCCCAGCCAGCTGTGTGATCAGAAGGGGAAAGAACCCTTCTCCATAGTGCATTGTGTTGCCAAACTGTGGTAGTCAGTAGGTTAGAGGTATTCACTGTATTTTGAGATACTGTCAGTTTATGATGGGTTTGTCAGAACATGATCTGGTTTTAAGCTGAGCAATACCTGTATATTCATGTTAGGACAAATAAACTTACTTTATTTTAAATTATTTTATTAGATGACAGGATAAGTAACCGTTTTAAAGTGTGTCTTTAATGATGGGCAGTTAAATTGTTCAATTTTTTCCCTCTGAGATAGTGTTTTGATATGTAACTGAGGCTTCTCTTGAACTTGAGATCATCTTGCCTCAGCATACTAAACACTGGCATAATAGTAGTGTGCTGTCTTGCCTGGCCTTAGATTTTTAGCTCTTATGAGAAGTGCTACTGCGGCTCCTGTACGGTACACACTTCCTTGAACACATTCTTTTTTCTCTAGGAGAGTCAGCAGTAGTCATATTACTGGATTATAGGGTGTGAAATTAAAAAAGGAATTACAAATAATTTTAAAAATTTAAAAGAGACTATGCCAATTTGCACTTGAAAATCTGAAGGAAATTAATGAAATACATATTATATAGCTTTTAAAGCAAGGATATACTACTTAGTTAATAAAAAATCCATAAAAGTATATTGCAATTTCCTAGTGTCTCCAGCTAGCAGGAGACACTAGCAGGAATCTGCTGGTCCAGGCTCTCTGAAGGGAGCGCTCCTCACTGCACAGGAGGTGAAGTTAGCCTCAAACAGAAAAGATGTTTATTCAGAGCCTTAATTTCTGTCCCTTCAGCCTCTGGAACTTATCTGACAATGAAGAAAAGGCCATGTAGTCATTACTGAGCACTCTATTTACAGACCTTGTGCAAGAGAAAAGCATCTCTGAGCTGTGTGAAAATATTGGGTGAGGAATCCACAGAAATGGAAATGCCCCCTCTGAGATATCTATGAATGTAGAACTTACCTGGAGACCTTAATGTGATTCTCTTATTTGCTATCTTAAGCAAAGTTCTTCGTGGAAACAGTAAAATACAGCGCTTTAATACTCTTTCACAAGCATCATGCTTACCAGCAGAGGGGGCCAAAAAGCTCTCCATGATTTCGGAACAGCAGGCTCACTCAGGGAGTGTCAGTATCTCCTTGCTTGTGTAACGGTGCAGTGCAGTGTAGGCAGTAATGTTTAAACTTGGCATCCAAAAAGAAATGTCATAGCTTTCATCCCCTTAAGGAGGTAAGGTGAATTTATATATGGAATGATATATGCACACTGTTAACATACTAGAACAAAATCAGTATGAGAAAGATTTTTGTATGTAAAACACAAAATAATACAAGACTGCTTCTCTGTCCATCCTGTTGTTTTCTCCAATTGTATTTCTTCAAAATAACAATTTTACACTTTCACTTCTTTTTACCTTCCTGTTATCTTATACTTTTTCATAGTCTTATAACAATTTGCAGATTTGAAAAGTATGGAAGGGCTCTGAGTTAAAAAAAGTTTTCTCTCCTACTCGGTTCCCTAACCTCCCACTTCCCTTCACTAATGTCAAAAGGCAGATTATTGAGTGCCCTGCCTTAGGGATTCCATGTGCTGAGTCTTAGCAAATATAATAATTCTAAGAAAACAGTATATTCATGTTGTTCAAAGTCCAAAAAGCTTCCTATTCGAATCCAGATTCAAACCCTCCTGACAGAAGCAATTTTGGTTAATTCTTTCATCAGGTTGATATTTTGGAGGATAATATTCTTCACTGCTGAGTTAATACTAGAATAAATTCTTTTTCATTTCTTAAGTTCCATTTGATTTTCCTGCAGTTAGCTTCTTTTTATGTACTGGTCACCAGTTTTCCATGTATATTGTCAGATTTGTCAATTACCAATTACATTTCCCAAATGACCACGTGTCACATCCCTTTTCTCATTCTGTCTTACTCTGAGCTGAGCTGCTTGTGCTTTAATTCTGCGTGAAGATGTCTTTCTGTCTCACTTATCCTTGCTATGTTCCCCTGTAGGGTCTCCTCCAGGGTCCTCGTGTCTCTTTTGTTTGGTTTATTCCCCTATTTTCTGGAACTCGTTGCTAAGGAACTTCCCGAGAAAGAGCAGTAGTATTTTGAGTCCCTTGAAAGTCTTAGTATGTCTTAAGTCATCGTTGTCTTTCATCTCCCCTTTCTCTTCCTTTTCCTTCTCCTTCTCCTTCACCTTCACCTTCCTGTCCTCCTCTTTTTCTTCCCCCTTCCTGTCCTGAACTTCGTATTAAATCTTGGCCCTTGTGCATGCTAGGCAAGTGCTCTAACACTGAGTTATAACCTTACGCTCTTATTTCATTTCTGCTAAGTTGCCCAGGCCTTGAAGTTGTGGTCTCCTGCCCCAGCTTCCAGAGTAGCTGGAATTATAGGTGTGTGGCACTCTACTCAGTTTAATTCTTAATTTATATTTTAAGCAGATATATATTTCAGTTAATATTTTTTTCTGCAGAATTTCTGCGTTGTCTTTCAGCTTTTCCTGTTGTAATTCAAAAGTTTCATGGCATTGTGATTTCTGATCTTTTGTAAGTGATCTTCTTTCTTCCCAGATTTGTTAGTGGAATTTTGTGGTGATATTATTTTTCATTGGTCTAAATTTATTTTGGTGGGCTTTGAGCAGACCTTTTCACTTCATGACATTTTCTTGAATTTCTTCCCTTCAGTATGATATCCATGGTTATATCCTTCTCTGTAACTTTGCCTGCATGTGCTTACACCTCTCACGTTCCTTTCCTGTAGAGCTGTGAAAGGAGAGGAGTCCCATTTAACCAGGACTCTCTTGTCTGGCACTTTTGGAAGATTTATTGCAAGGGGAGCCTAAGCCTGATGTGAATCTATAGAAATTATCTTTCCAAATTGGAAACAAAATGCAGCAGAATCTGTCTCTTAGTAAATAGTTCTGTAAGGGAAGTGCTCTAAAGAAAGTCTGCTTCTCTTTGAACTTCATTCTTGTCTTGATAACAGGATTAAAGTGATTAGTGAGAAAAGGTCAAGAGATGGATGAAAAACAGGACTTGGTGATTGCCCAGATATAGCAAATATCAAAGACAGAATGAGGGGCACTGAACATTCCTGCCCTGGAGCTTGTACCAGTTGGAGCAGGTGAGTGGCAGGTGTTCCCCTTCTTCAGCACCCTACTCCCCATGACAATGTCCTCTCAATGAGAACTTCTCCAAAATCCAAGTAGCAGCCTCCATGGCCCCTTCTTATCCCCAGATTGAATCTCAAACTCAAGGTTACTTCCTTGCTCTTCTCCTCCGTCAAACTTTAACTTCTTTCTTGAGCCTGTTTGATACCCGTTGAGCCCTTCTTATGTAAGAATTCTACAGTTTCTGAGCCTGAAAATGTAGAGGAACTACTCGGGGGAGCTTTTAAAAATATAACTGTAACCAGAAACTCTGGTGCTAGGGCCTGGGGATTCGGTATTATAAACACTGTTCTGCAGACACCCAGCCTGCTTTGGAAGCCACTGGGGATTTAGGGCCTTCTGATGTAGACAGTTAGCATCTTCTTAGAGAGACTCTCATAGGGAGACACAAATAGTGACTTCTGCGATTCTGGCTTTGACATGTGGTCCTTCAGATGCCTTCCTACTTTGTTGATGATAGTTGTTCAGTGGGTGGTGCCTGGAGAAGAAGCAGAGAGCATTTCTGTGCCAAGCAGCTATCACGTATGTATCACATTTTAAAACATTGTTATTTAAAAGCTGGATCACAAAACTGTATATATTTGTGGGGTACATGATGTTTCCATGCATGCATACATTGTGTAACGTTCAAATGAGGGTGAGTAACTATTTCCTTAAATATTTTTATTTCCTTTTTTTTTTCTTTGCTTTTGTTTTTCGAGACAGGGTCTTGCTTCATAGTTCAGGTTTACCCTGAACTCTGTTGTCCAGGGTGGCCTGGACTATGGACTCACGGTGATCCTCTTGCTTCAACCTCCCAAGTGCTAGTGCTGGGATTATAGGTGTACACCACCGCAGCCTGCTACCATTTATCATTTCTTTGTGATGAAAAAATTCAAAAATTTCTAGCATTTTTAAAATATACAAGGCATTATTGTTATTTGCTTTGTGCAGTATATTACATATTGACAAAAATACCGATGTATTTAATTGAACATATTTTGTGATTTAATTTGGCGATTGCAGGGATAATCAAGAGATGATTATTTTTAGTGAGATTGGGAGCAAAATGAAGGGAAGACAATCAGGAGCTGTTAAATTGCTTCTTGATAAAAACAAACACGAGAGGGCAGCAAAACACTGTTTAGAGATGTGCACACAAATTCAGTAAGGCTCAAGTACTGTTTTCCTGACAAATACTTTTTTAAAACGATCTGCCTTGACGTCAGACCTGAGTGATATTCTAATAATTCCTGCGCTTTATTTTGCAATATTGTCCTTCACACTGTCCCAATATCCTCCATTCTTCTAAAACACATTCACATCCTGTATTGAACCCCCAGTTCAAACACACCAACCCCTGTAAAAACTCTCTAAGCTCCTTCCTCTCCAGTGTCCACAACAGGTTGTCCCTACAAGGCCATGCCCCTGCTTCTGGGAAGAGGCAGACTGAGCAGTTCATCTTGTGCATCTTGGGGGATGAGGAGCTGGAGGTCTTCACCTCCCAGGTCCCTCAGTTTATGTAGATTCAGACTCCTTCTCTCCTGTGTGACAGAGGGCCCGAGAGTTCTGTTCAGGTGAAGACATTCACAAAGTTAGCTTGCAGGACATTCTGTAGAGTCAATCCTAAATTTCGTTTGACTAGATGTTTTATTCTAAATCATACAAACTTGTTTCCTTTGCTAACTCTGGGAATTACGACTCAGAACATCTTAATTAGGACTTTTCATGTTCTACTCAAGTTGGGAAAAAAGAAGATGTGCTCTGTGCTCTGTATCAAGTGCCAAATATAGTTGTGTCTGGCACAGTGGAGCTTTTTTCTGGGACTCATATGGTCTTGCTGTTCTGTGCTTTGGGGTAAAAGTTTTAATAGAGGTGTATTATTGGAGTATTGGTTATGATGTTGCTCTTCCATGAACCGTGTGCCCTTGGGTGGGTCACAGAACCTCTATTTCCTTATTTACAAAATAAAATCATGCTAGAGAGCGATTCTACTTTTTTGGGGTGTGTGTGTTGATTATTTTTATTTGTTCACATTTTTTCATTAGTGCATATTAGTTATACAGATTAATAGGATTTATTTTGACAGATTTGTATGTATGCATGACACACTTAAGTCATGTCCCTTGTAATGTCCCCCTTGTTGCAATCTCACCTGCACTTTCATATTTTTTTGAGGGGGTTCCAGGTACACAATATGTTTTTATCATATCCATGCCCTCATTACCCATCCTTACACCTCCTCTCACTGCCCCTTCTTTTCTCTTGTCTAATAAGTGTTCCACTGCTTTTTGGCTTTTATTTATTTATTTGGTACCAGGGATCGAACTCATGCCCTTGCGCTTGCCAGGCAGGCATTTAAGCCCCTGAGCTAAATCCCCAGCCCTACACACTTATTTTTGTGGCAGTATCATGCTGTTTCTGTTGCTATGGCTTTGTACTGCAACTATTGAAATTGGGTATTGTGATGCCTTCAGTCTTGCTTGGGATTGTTTTGGTTACTCTAGTTTGTGGGTGTGTATGCATGTGTGTGTTTCCACATGAATTTTAGGATTATTATTTTTCTAGTTCTGTGAAAAAAGTTATTGCTATTTTGATTGGGATTGCATTGAATATATAGATCATTTTTGGTGGTAAGACCATCAAAATAATATTAATCTGTCAATACTTGACCATGGAGGTCTTTGCATCTTCTGTCTTTAGTGTTCTGAAATTTTTATTGTAGATTGATCCTTAGGTATTTTATAGTTTTTGAAGCTGTCTCAAATGGTGTTATTTTCCTGATTTCTTTTTCAGCTAGTCCATTATTGGCATATAGAAGAGCTACTGATTTTTTTAATGTTGATTTTATATCCTGCTACTTTGCTAAATTTGTTTATCAACTCTAAAAGTCTTTGGATGGAATCTTTAGAGAGTTCTAAGTATAGATTCGTATAATTTGCAAACAAGGGTAATTCGACTTCTTTCTTTTTTTTTTTTTTTGTCTTTTTCATTTTTATCGGTACCAGGGATCGAACTCACGACTGCCTGCTTGCAAGGCAGGCACTTATGCCGCTGAGCTAAATCCCCAGCCCCTTGACTTCTTTCTTTCCTATTTGTATCTCTTACATTGCTTTGTCTTGCCTGATTGCTCTAGCTAAAATTTGAAGAACTATATTGAACATTGAATGGTAAGAATGGATATCCTTGTCTAATTCCTGATTTTAGAGGAAATGCTAGCAGTTTTTCCTAATTCAGAATGATGTTGGAGGTGGGCTTGTGTTACGACTTTTACTATTTTGGGGAAGGATCCTACAGTATCTAGTTTCTTCAGGGGTTTCCATGATGAAAGATCAAATTTCATTAAAGGTGTTTTCTGTGTCAGTTGAGATGCTCCTGTGATTTTTATCCTTGATCCTATTTATGTGGTATATTATGTTTCTTGATTTGCATATGTTGAATCATTCTTGCATCCCTGGAATGCAATCAACTTGATCATGATGCACTATCTTTTTAACGTGTTTTGGTTTGCAAGTATTTTATTAAAATTTTTGCATCTATGTTTATCAAAGATATTGGTCTATAGTTTTTTCTTTATTATGCCTTTCTTCACTTTTGGTATCAGACTGACATTGGCCTAATAGAATGAGTGCAGAAGCATTTTTTTTCTTTTCTATATCTTGAAATATTTTGAAGAGCATTGCTGTTAGTTCTTTTTAAAGGCCTGTTAAAATTCAGCAGTGAACTCATCTGGTACTAGACTTTTCTTTGCTGGGAGAATGTTATTACTTCTTCAATCTCATTGCTTGTTAATGATCTATTTAGATTTTTGAATATCTCTTCGTTCAGTTTTTGTGGTCATGTTTGTGTAGGAACTTATCCATTTCTTTTAGATTCTCCAACTTATTAGGATATGTCTTCGAAGTAGTCATTAATAATTCTCTAAATCTCAGCGGTAACACCCCTTTTTAATTGTATTTTCTATATTATTTGGGTTGTCTTTCTCTCTCTTTTTGGTTTGTTTAGTTAAGGGCTTACCATCTTGTTTATGTTTTCAAAGAACTAACTTGTTCCATTGATCCTGTGTATTGGTCTCTTAGTCTCTATCTTATTCATTTCAGCTCTGATTTTTATTACTGATTTCTTTTGGTTGGATCTGGTTTCAGTTTATTCTTGTTTTTTTAGAACCTCGAGATTCATCGTTAGGTTTTTTTTTGAGATCTTGCTGATGTTTTAGAACTGCCTTTGTTGTGTCCTGGAGATTCTGGTTTATCATATTTCCATTTTCATTTGATTCTAGAAATTTTAAAATCTCCTCTTTGATTTTTTCAATGGCCAATTGATCATTCAAAAGTAAATTATTCAATATTCATGTGTTTGTATAGTTTCTCTTGCTGGTGATTTCTAGTTTTATTCCATTATAATATAAGCTGCAAGCAATTATTTAAATTTTTTGTATTTGTAAAGGTTTGCTTTATAATCTACAATATAATCTGTTCTGGGACTTGTTCTATGAGCTTCTGAGAAAAATGTGTATTTTGTAGTTGTTGGACGAAAGGTACCGTAGATACCTGTTAAATCCCTTTGATACTGGTATAGTCTAACTCCAATGATGTTTTTGTCAGGACGACCAATCTATTTGTTAGATAGAGTAGTGAAGATCTCTAGATCTCTCCTATTATTGTTTTGGGCCCTATGTGTCCATTTATGTTGAGTTGTGTTTGTTTTGTGACGTTGAAATGTACACATTTGGTGTATACATATTTACAATTGTTATATCCTTTTGGTAGGTTTTTTCCCCTTTGCCAATATATAGTGGCTTTTTGGTTTCATCTGACTAATTTTATCTTGAAGTCTGTTTTGTCATATACAAGTATAGCTATTCCTGTATATTTTAGGTTCTCTTTGCATTGAATATTTTTTCGTTCTTTCACTTTCTGTGTATATCTTTGCTAATGTGGTATGTTTTTTGGATGCAGCAGAGTTGGGTCTTTAAATCCAATGTGCCAATCTTTATGCTTTAATTGGAAAATTAAGACCATTTATATTCAGAATGATTATAGAAAGTATGTACTGATTTCTGTCATTTTATTGTTTTTCTAATATTTAATTCTTTCTTAATTCTCAATAGCTTGATTATTCTACCTCTTCTATGTATAGAATTCCTTTAAGTAATTTCGGCAGTGCTGGCTTGGTGGTTGTGAATTTGTTCAGTTTTGGGGAAAGCAAACAGACCACTCAGCTCTGTGCTGGAAGTAGACATCAAGGAGAGACCTGACCCTTTAAAAACCAGCCCCTTCAGAAAACCACATGTGATTGGCCTGGCTTCTCACCAGAGAAGGTGGGACAACTGTGCCCGCCATATTTAAGCTTACTGCTATTTACCTTCTCAGAGGGTCTGTAACTGTTTTCCATCAAGACTGTGACCATTTCTTATGGGCATCTCCTGATCAGTCATGGGAGCAGGGTGATTCCAGAGGACCTGAAGTGTGGTTATTCTATGACTTCTGGTTCCTAGAATAGCTAAGTCTTAAACAATAAACCCTTTTCCAAAATGGCTCTTG